ATTATTTACTTTGATTTCCTAATTCCGCCCTTGGGACGATTAAGTGATTCATAAAGTTTACACGTTCCATTTAAAGACGTTGTTGATGAAGACATTATAAGTTTGGTTGCCTTTTTAAACTAATTTGAACAAATCATTTCTTTGGACTTGTTACACAACATCTTTCTGTTTATCGGTATACGCTTTACAACAACATTTCTTGTATTTGGATAAAAAAGGCCAAACACCTGAAAAGGCTATATAGCTCTTTAAGGGGGAGGTCACTGTGAATTGTTGAGATAAAAATTTTCGTTTATTGATACCTTTAAGAATACGTACAAAAAAATTCATTACTTGAAGGACATTTTTTTCATGTTTCGGTCTTCTTTTGAAAGACTTCTTGCGTTATATGAATCGTTGCTGATAAGATACAACCTAGTCTCTGTTCTAATGATTTCTAACTTGTTAGGTATATCGACAAATGCCTTTCATTTTAAATGACATATATATCAGTGAAGCTTTACAAAGACTTTGGATAGATGTGAGGGTGAGAACGATTAGAAGGCTTTCAGTGCTTCTGGCACGAAATTAAAAATTTTAGATGAAGATTTCGGGGTCGATTACGAACTCGGCTATAGATTCGTAAATTGTCTTATTTCTTACTCAATAATTTTGCGTAAATGTGAAGTGTAAGAATAAAATATGCGATGGTATCTTCGACATATGCGTCAAAAAGTGCTCCTTCGACCATAAAACCTTTAAACAGAGAGAATAAGGATAGGACATTTGAACATGCAATGGAATTTGTATGATCCTGACGAATTGTTAATGAAAAAATATCTTAAACAAGTAAGAAAATTAAATTCGGTCGGGACCTAATCTTTTATATCCATCACTGTTTACTCCAAAAAAAGACAAAAGAAGTAAAAGAACAAAATTCTCATTCTCATGAGAGGGTGCAGTTGATATCTTCTATTTTCAATATAAATGTTTTTGTCGCAGCGGTATGTGGGCGTTCTAGGCGTGTTCTTGGAAATCTTTAGGTCAATTCCAAATTCTTTTGCAAATTTGTAGGCGATATTTTCATTTTCGGTGCCGGGAGAATGTGTACCAGTGTTACTACAAAGCTACACAAACAGACAGATGAACGGACGAACGGGCAGACGTGTGTAGGTGACCAATTTTCATCGGGAAAAGCGTGTAAAAAGTAATTTCGGTTGATGCACATTTTCCGGTTGGCAATTTTGGTGTGAAAATATGAATCAAGTTAAGGTTTTGTCATATTTGAATATTTGAGGAGTGGCTCTAAACAAAACCTCTGTAAATTATATTTCATCAAAATATGCCAATAAATTAATGGACAAGCATAGCAGGCTCACGTTGATTCAGTATCTTGAGAGGGCATCCACGTCCTGCCTGCGCATCAACTATGCTCAGAAGCCTTCGGTTCAGAAAAATGAAATATATATTTGGAGACGGTTAAGTTAAGCTCCGAAGCGACAATGCTAATAAGGGAAGCGCCTGCAACAATTGAATGAAAGAAAGTGAGGCAGGATTGCTCTAAATACACATTTAACGAATAAGAGAATTATATACGACCGCGGCCGAATCCTTTACACCCATCACTGTCATCCATGGTATGCCGTCGTGACGTCTGCGATATTTAATTAAAAAAGAACACACTTAGTTTGCCGCCTTCTACTCTCCAAGTCCCTTTATTTGACACTCAATTGATACTTCCCGTTATAGGGTCCACCAAATCTATTTTGACATATTGACATATTCGTAGACAGTTAATATATAATAATTGTTTACAGCATTCTGGTTTGTTTATCGTATGAGTGATAAGCAGAAAACATTAGAAAAACTAGAAAATCACTTATAAATTGTACTAGGCGTGACCGATTTTTGCCATTTTTGTGCAGATGCGGCTGGACCACCCATCGAAATGCATATTTTTATCGTTGTATCTGCTGTAGCTTATAAGTAGTGATCGAAAAACGAAGTGGGTTTATTTTTAAAAACAGAGATGATATTAGATTATGCTTCCGTCTGGATGTTGCAAACGTCCTGACGCAATGCACATACCCATACCCCTCATCCTTCGGTGATGTCTACAAAAAAAAAAATAAATAAATAAATAAATAAATATTTTAATTTCCATACGACCAAATGGCTGTAGCTCAGTATCATGTTTACCGCATCAAATTAATTCGTATCTAGTTGAGTAGAAGAGCGAAAGTTATAGGATTAAAATAATTCTACGCATATTGCCGGAATCTTTCTGTATGCCAAGCCCTCTGAAAAGCAGTTTTATACTACTCATGGGAGAATAAAGCCAATGAACGTTTGGCTTGATCCCATATATAAATTTTACATAGTTATTAATAAAATCATTTGGAAGGCAATGTGCACCAACCATTATAATAGCGTACGGTAAGTGGACAAAGACGTCTGCTAAATTTTCAATGATTTTCCTTTATAAACGAAATGTTCAAAGTAAGGACGCAGAGCAGTATCCAACAGTTATGGAAAGTAAATAAAATAGGGAAGAGAAGGTTTCAGTTTTGGTGTTAGATATAGAGTGCATTTGCAATTCGTATAAAGCCTTATTTTTCATTTACTTATTGACGCTTAATTGTGATTGGTTTTTCAAGTACCCCTAATCTTAACAATATCATTGAAGTATTTATTTCCTGCGTATTACTGGAATATAAAAATGAAATTAGGTCAACTTATTTCAAAACAGAAAGAAATTTGACATCCTTCTCTGTGGTTTGCAACTAAATAATTATTTACAACATGAAAACCGGTAAAGGATTGGAGTATCATCAAACATTAGACTTTGTGGGACTCATTTTAAAAAAACTTCTTTTTTTGTAGTTTGGTTCTTGTTCTACTCTTTAACATTAATAACATTTATTTACGGCGATGGTGAAACGAAACACAAAGAAAGCATTGGAGATCATCAGCAGAAAATAGAAAAACCAACTACTACTACTAGCGCTACTGCTACTAACACTATTACTATTACTTATTCCACTACACCACCAACAAGTAAGTACTACTGCTACTGCTGAGACTATCATACTAGGATCGCGCTAAGAACAGTTGCCGGAACTTGTGACAGCGTTTTTCGCATTGCAACACCTTACAAATTAATACCTGACACAATTAATATGCAAAAAAAATTCTTAAAAACTTTTGAAAAATAACACGGAATGACTTGCGCACATGTTGCTTTACGTGACAGTGTAATAGAAGTAATACTACCACATTAGCTGCCTTTCGACTACACGCTCCTGCGTTTCCATTATTTGTATTGTATTAAGGATTATGTTAAAGATTCCTCGATATAATGTCAAACATTCAAAAATGAGGTAAAAAATGTGGTTTGCTTTAATTTCAGCGGCTACAGCTTCAACCCCTATAGACACGTTGCAGCCGACTACACCAAGAACTACTATAACTTACGAGCCAAGCACAGCCAGCAGTACTACCACTTGTAAGCCAAGCACACCAAGCAGCACTACCTCTTGTAAGCCAAGCACACCAAGCAGCACTACCTCTTGTAAGCCAAGCACACCAAGCTCTATTACTACCACTTGTGAAACAACCACACCAAGCACTACTACTACCACTTCTGAGCCAACCACAACAAGCACTACTACTACCACATGTGAGCCAACCACACCAAGCACTACTACTACCACATGTGAGCCAACCACACCAAGCACTACTACTACCACTTCTGAGCCAACCACACCAAGCAGTACTACCACTTGTAAGCCAAGCACACCAAGCAGCACTACCACTACTACTCTACAAGTGACCACCTCCACTAAAGATTCTATCACTACTACTCCTGCTGATGACTCTATTACTGGCACAAGCCCTGCAAATACTCTAACCTCTGCAGTAACTTTGTTGTCATCAGAGTTTTATACGAGCTCTTCCGACTGCTCTATGCTCAATGACGGCACTATTCTATTAGATATTAGACATTGCCGTCGTTATTATGTGTGCCGAAGCGGACGTGCTAGACGTATGAGATGTCCGCTTGGACAATGGTATGATAGTGATGTACGTTCATGTCATGATCGGCGCTTTGTGTCAAGTTGCGCTGTTAATCGTAACTAAATAAAACAAACACAGAAGCAAAGACGGGTAAAGAATTGATTTTGAGAAAAAAACAAGGGTCATACAGAAGTAGAATGCAGTTTAAAAAAATGAATTGTATGAAATAAATGAAAACAAACAAGCGAACAAAAAGAGGAAAACGCTTTCCAAATTAACTAGAAAGTGTAACTCGCAAGAACACTCATATATGTAGAGTTTATTTTTTATTCTTTTGATCTTGATCTTCTCTAAACGAACTGTAGCCCGGACGTGTTAGAACTAAGTTTAAAGTTTTTCGAGTCATTTTTAATGTCAAACCTTCATTTATGGCGATCGCAAATGGAACGCGAGGACTACACAATTTTTCTCCCATCCATAATTTCTGATTCGCATAGTTTGTGCATTTCCGCGCTTTAACTTTTGCGTTAACGTATGAAATTTGCCAACAGATGTTCTAAATTAAGGTCAGTAACTCTCTCTTCGCTAAAACATCTATCTGCATGCATAGCATATCTTGAAAATATATATAATACTGCAACCAAGAGGGTTGCTAATAAGAAGATTATCCGCTGCTTTGTGGCGCCCGCCATGTTTAACATTGAATAAAGCGACTCTTAGCATATTGTATTTTGCTCCTTAATACATTTTTGTAACGACGATATGAAGAGGACTGTTAGGAAAAAGATTGTTAGCCATTTGGCAATTTTGGGTATACAGAGACGTTGGCTCTGTACTACGTTGTACTATTGTCATTGTAATTACAGGTGTGTGCAAAGTGTCAGCACGATCACGGATATACAGGAGTGCTTGAAATATCAAAATTGCAATATTTCCTAAAATATAAATAAAAGCGCTTATAAAAACGATTCCAGTTAAGATTAAGATCATTAGTAAATGAAACGAAAGTTAATTACTTTGATCATTTCATAAAGTTAATTGCAATCTTTATCCCACGATATACCACACGGGAGGCACGAAGTTGTCATTTTGATGTTGTTAACATAGTCAGCTACTTGGGCTTTTGTTTGCTTGATAATTAAATGATTCAAGCAAAAGCACAAGTATCTTATATTCGATAATACGTAAGCACTATGTGTACTGTTTATATGTAACATATAAAAAGTATAGTGCTTTCCGAAGGTGTGTTCTTTTTTTATCAACTAGTAAGTCAACATAGGTCAATAATGTACATAATTACACACGTATAAATCAGGTGCATAGAGAGAAATAAAGATTATATAAATGATCATCTTGTTCTCTCATTAACCAGTGGAGTCGTCAACTGCTTTTCTCAGACGAATTCGGGTGTTTAAGAATGAGACCAATTTTCGCCTAAGAGCATGTAAGACGCGATCAAAGGACTCAAAGTCAAAGAGAATGCCAACGAGCATTATGCCATATATATGCCATTATTATCTTTTGCTCTAGTGATTGGGTTAATGGATTTGTAAATCTTGGCAAACAGTCCCGCAAACGTAAAATTGCCTCAATATAAGCATTTTTTTATGGCGGAAAGCGTAAGCAATAGCTGTTTCATTTATATTCCCTCTTACGGAATTGAGAGTGATGCTGGACGTGAATTTAAACTGAAATCAACCTTTGAAGATCAAAAGGAAAGCCATGATCTTCGATCAGACTTTTTTAACCTAAAATTATTTAATTCTTTAAAAGAAAGAAGGTGAACAACCGTTTTTCAGATTTGAATTAGAAAGAGTTAGCCTACCGGAGGTTTATTATTTTGTTATTAAATGGGCATGAAACAGAATTCTTTCTTTAAATAATTTATCGAGGGATGAGACCGTCAGCTTCGATATTATAAAGAATCCTTTTGTTCTAAGCTTCGCTAAGCAACGTCACAGATATACGAATGCTTCATGTACTGACCCAAACAGTGCTTTCTAGTTTTTTCAGACTGGCATGACAACTGGCTGAATTGGCTCGATTGCAGAGTAAGGGAAATACTTGCGCAACATTTAAATTGCATCCGGAGCACATCGGAATTTGAAAAGTCTTCTGATAAAAGGCAAATGAAGAGCGAAAACATTTAATGTTTTGTAATAAATCTGCTAGACGATGCTGTGAACCAACACGGCGAAATAAATTGGAATCTTCTATGGAACGTAACGCATGTTCGTCACAAAACTCAACATAAAGCATTTCAATGCAAGATTGTTGTGCTTGTGCTGCAGTAGTTCGAGCTACAAAGGAGACGATAATAATTTTTTTAAATTTGACTATCGATCGACTATCGACGAACAGAAATAACAAGTCGCATCGACGAAGACATTGATTGCGATAACGAAGCAGATACTTTTGAATTATCTAGAACGAAGCAAGCGGAAGAACTAATACCTATATCTGTAGATACATATATAAAAAAAAAAAATTTGAAAAATCTTTAATTTTCATGACCAAGAAAAGCTTTAGTTTAGGCAGTCTGCCCGAGTCTCTCATACAAATCTGTATATAGAAACATCAAATTTACAAAGCCGTAGAGGACGAAGTCTCCGAAATATATATAACGGTACCAATGCGAAATGTACGTAATATAAATATAAAATTCTACAAGATTGTCTAGGTACCGAAAACGATTGATTTATCACGAACGAAAGCTGCTGCGAAAGTGGACGTCGCTTATAGTACTTTACATTGAGGGTCTTATTATACAAAAATTTGGTATTCTTCGCCCTGCATCAATACGGGGGATTACTGCACAGTTTTCGTTATCAAGGAAACTCGATATCGAATTTGAATTTCGGATTAATGGTTTTCGTTAACAAAAAGCTCGTTTGATGGTACTCAATATTTTGCGAGTATTTGCTCGAGGTCGAATGCGACGGGTCACATTTTAGCTCAAAAGCAAATCGAACTTTATGCCCAAAAGGAAAATAAAGTCATTTATCGTTATGTAGCACATACATATTAAACAAAATAAATGGGCATAAAGAGACAACTTAATAAAATCAAATAATTGCTTTGCTTTTACGTGTTGGAATGTGATCTTCAGTACCTGTACGGTCGATATATAGCCAGGCGAGAGAGAGTGATCGCAATTCAGTTCAAAAGACCGAGACTAGTTTTATAAATGTACGTTGACGACACTCAAGCAAATTCTTGCCATAGTGGAACGGTTGATGGAAATATCGGAAGCAAAACATAAAATGGATAAGAAAGAGGACCGAATTGACAAAGAGAGACACACCACAGATGTAGAAGTTACAAAAAGCAGGTTAGCTATTTAGGCAAACAATTTAAATAAACAATGATTTAAACTTTACTTTATACAGACTTTATACTTGGCTTGTTTATTTATTTACTTTTCTTTCCCGTCTTTGCATTATTCCGCTGTAAATACAATATCGCTTCGGTCTTTCGTATCGTACGACAGCTCGATACAGCCGTGCTTTCAACTAATAGTATTCGAAAAAATAACAAGGAAGAAAGCTATATTCGATCGGCTCCAATTCTTTTATACCCATCAGCGTTATCCTAAAAGAGATGGACAAAGGAAAAGAACTAAATTTTCATGCTCTATAATATGGATTGGGCGCGGCTGATTTTTTCTCTTTGCAAAGTAAAAGGCTTTATCGCATAGGCGTGCGGGCCTTGTAGGCACGGCCTTGAAAAAGTGTAAGTCACTTCCAAATTCTTTTGCAAATTTGTAGGCGATATCTTCATTTTCGCTGACGACAGTTTACCACAAATACCATATATTTGGATAGATGGGCAGCTGGCCTAGAATTTATGCACGCTATGAGGTTTTTTGAAGCTTGCTGCCGCGCATTGTAAAGATAATGAAAAAAAAAATCAAATATTGATCCACCATAATATTGGGTATGCACGGTCAACTTTCTCCGATTTGGTACAGATGCTACAGCATCGCCCATAAAACATGAATTCAAAATTTTTGGTACATTTTTCTCCTATAGTTTATGAGTAATGAGCAAAAAACCGATTTTTTATATCTTTTGAACAACAAAGGTTTCCAGGTTTTCAGTTTACGTGATGCTGTGGACCTCTTCTTCGACTGATTTGGCCCATTTTCAATATGAGGCTGCGTGCAAGAACTTCCAACGTTTTTTACTAAACTTGAAGTTGATAGCTTCTTTTTGCGGGCGGGAGAATGTTTTCAACATTCGTTAGACAGATGGAAATGCTTAAATCGATTTAAAATTTGATGCAAATCAAAAATATATATATTTTGCAAACTCTGCGCTACTTCTTTCTGGGCCCTGCAAACGTTCTGACAAAGTGAGTAAATCTCTCATGCTTCGGTGATGCGTACAAAAAAACAAGTTAAATAACGTAAGTTAGTAATTAAAGACAACTTCTCAACATTTTTATTTATTTATTTATTTATTGTGAGTATATTCTGGAAATCAATTGCACTTTTTCATATTTCAATTGCGAAAATGATGATGTGTATTTTTGGAATATGTTGTGTAGAACCAGGAATGTAAAATACATAGGTAACGCACCTTGTACAATTCCCCAAGGATAGCGTGCCAAGTTGCATAAAATATGTTAAGTAAAGATAAATCATTGCGACATAATAAAATCTTTTATTTCTTTTATCTTTTCACACTACCCTGATACAGGATATATTATGTATGTGGCGTGATGTATGTAACTGTCAGACGGAGTTATCGTAAATCAAGCTTGTCGATCAATTTACGATCATATTCTAAATCCATCTAAGCTTGTTTGTCTGTTTGAGGTCTGCCCGTGTAGCCTTGCGTGCATATTTGGTACCCTCATGTGTTTTGACTCACGGACACAGCTTATCCAGATTGTCATTATATCAAAAATAATTAAATTTTCACAGTTTCTTCACGGAAATCGCTTAGTAATAGTATTTCAACATTCTAGATTGATTCGAAAAATTCGGATTACATTAGCTCATCTTCCGAACCTCCTCTCACATTGCTGTTTCTACGAATACGATATCTTCATATGGCGCAAAATCTAATTTCTAATAGTTCATAGTCAAAACTGGTCCACAATGCTAGTTGAACATAGAGCTCAGGCATATGGGATTTGAACCACGTAAGTCCAATGTTCAGATCCGACATCATTTATAATAAATAGTTCTCATGAAAAGTGAGCGTTTATAGAGAAAAGGGTGCAATTCTTAATAATTTTTGATGAAAATCGGTCCATAGAAATAGCTTAACTCCTATTTCACTCCTATTTTACTATATCAAATTTGGTCTATTATTCCGACACCTTAACAATGAACCCGTACAAGGCCAAAAAGTAAAATTTACAATCTTTAATTGTTAAAATCGGTTCATTATAGTACAACAACTTGACCTAAAAAGAAGCTGTACTGATGAACAATACCTCACAAAAGAGTCCGTAGCATTATAGAGAGAGCATTTATAACAGCTACAAAGTTTAATTTTTAATATTTTGTGGTAAAAATTAGTGCATAATAGATAACATGAATAAATAGTCATATCAGTCAAAGCGTAGGTAAGAGAAAATCAGTTTTTTTTTCAGACTTTAGTGTACCCGTAAATAGGTAAGAATGACCTCAAAAGACAATTGTGGGTGTTGCAAAAGATTTAAATACTAGTATGTCAATGTATGGGTACTTTTAGATGCGTTTTTCATCAAAAAACAGTTTTTGAAAACGACAAGGACTGTAACGGAATTAATTTTTTTCTTTTTTATTGAGACTTTTTACAGCAGTTTTCAAACAACATTTACTAGCGGAATACAATACCCAACACAGTAGATACGTTCCGTGGAAAGCCGTGCAAAAAAAATCTGTGTACAAATATATATGCGAGATACAGTAAACTTGGGGATATGTTCCATAAGTTTGAAAAACCGTGCAAGATGAAGAAAACTCTTAATCTTTCCTCAAAAAACCGTGCAAAAAAGGTAATAATGCGTCATTGAAATTATTTATCGCGTCTTGCGAACTGAACAGTCTAACATAAAACAAATACTGAACAGTCTAACATAAAACAAATTTAAATACAACGAGATAAAGGTAAAAGTGATCATAAAATTCGGATATTCCCCGTAGTAGACCAAATCAAAGTGTACTTGTTCATATTGTTGAATCCTGTTATTTCAAATTCGGGTAAAAAAAACGTGTAAAAAAAGTATTGCATATATGTAAGATTTTTTTGATAAATTAACTTAAGCATTTTGTATTAATAGAAGAAGGGATCTTTCCTTTGGTCGAAAATTGAACATTTTTATTTAAAAACGCTCCAAGGGAAAACAAATCGACATTTTTCATATTCTCTACGTACTTCACTAGATATAGGAGTATAGACTAAATGGGTTTTTCTCGTTATTCAAATTTGAACTGATAGCTTTGGTATTGCTAATTTTTGATATTTTCGAGAAATTTTTTTTTTTTTTACGCCGTGAATATTATTCACCCGCAAGCTTTCCTACGATCCCCCACCCCACCCTCACAAAAAAAGAGAAAAACAAAATTTTCAAAAAATCCCTTTACTGGTTAAGCTTTTAAAACGATCTATCCTCTTAAGAGCAGTAAAACGATTACTTTGCAGTCCGCTATACTGATTCGATCGCGAACTTCATCGTCCATGGTATAAGCTTTCAAAATTGTCCAGTTTATTCCATTTTAATTCCAATTACAATTAATTTCAAGTTATATAACCTAGCCACAAAAGAGAGATGAACCAAACTTCAATCGTTTAAATAGAAGAAATATTTTTAGTGACTAGCAATGAAGTGAATGATATAATGTATACTGTCGGCTTCATATGACAGTAGAGCGCAACCGACCACATGCAGTCGACCATTGTGCCCATCATATTTTGTAAATCATTTTTTGGCGTAGCCATTACTGCTGCCACTTTCCCGGATATGTATTAAGTGCAACTTGTCCTCTTTTTCATTATCTGCGTTCACTCCATTCTCTAACCATTTCGATTGCTTTCGAACATTTGATATATCCACTTAAATGAGAAAATCATAAAATTGTAAATTTATTTTGCGCTTACCATTGTAGTAGTGGTTAGAATAACCAGCTTTTCCCGCTACACGTCCAGCTGGCATCTTTTTTTCTTTGTGTTAGTTACGGTTTTCCCTTCAATCCACAATATCAGGACAGTTGTGGAGTTGTAATGTGCGACGTAATGGTATTATCGCATATAAAACTATAGCTTTGTATGCGGTCGTTTAGCTGTAATCTCGTCTAACAGGGGTGCTTTTATTAGCTTTTCTAAGCTTATATTAAATTTTTTTTTTATATTTTTTAGCAAGCTCCCATCGTCGTAGCTGGAAATGTTGTTGATTGCGGTATTTTAAAAACAAATTAAGCCAAACAAAACACAATCATTATCCAGATCTCCTCTTGTATTGTTCTCCCATTCTCTTCTCGAGTCGGGGCGCTTAATATTCGCAATTGAAGCAAATCTTGGAAAACAAGTAACATTTGCTTCGTTAAAGAGGATGCTCGAAGATTGTGTCAAGTTTTGTTCCTTATTTATTCGTCTTTTTTTGTCGTTTCTTGCTTTCTGTTATCTGCTAATCTATAGATATTTTTTTAAATAAATGACAACATTTTTGTCCAACAATACTACTTGATGAAGGGATATTCGTTTGCATGGTTTCGTGTCCTTCAATAAATTACATTAGCTTTGGTTTGACAAATTCGATGCGATTTTGTTCATAAAAATTATATCGAATGTTAGCTTTTGCTCTTTTCGTTTCAATAAATTATTTCTTGCCGATACGTGTGATGAGAATGATGGCCTCTTTCTTGATACCATTAAAGAACTAGTAGTAAGTGCTCGCCATACAGGCGTCTGTTGTATTATTTTAAACATTTCTATGCGACGTTAACATCAGTGATGAAGTAGTTTTTTGGTCTGTAAAAAAAAGAAATAAAAACAAAGAAATATATATATATATAAATTTTTTTTTTTTTTTTTTTTTTGCATTTTGTCTTCGAAAAGCTTTATAAATAGAAAATTACAAACTTTGTTATAATAGCCTTGAGCGTTAAGTAACGTTTACAATCTTTTTGAAGTGGTATAATAGCCTGTCCTTTGGTGGCATATGTCAATTCAATCATATAGCTTTTAGAAAATTATATTTTTATCCTTTAACACTAGAAAGAGAGAGAGAGAGAAAGAACAAAAGACTTAGATCCTTTTCGTTGCGAGAACTTTTCTCTAATGCGACGAAACCTACTTTTTTTCTTATGACCCGCATTAAATTTCTTTATTTTATATTCCTTTACACTATACATTTATTCTGTGAATATGATAAGAACCTACAAAGAATGCGAAAGGTAGTTATATGCGCTACAAACGAGCACAAAAATTTCAAATAAACGTGTAGGATAATAAGGGTTCTTGGAGAAACCTTAAAACATTTATTTAATTGTAAGTACGTCAATTATGTGAGAGAAGCCACTTTTACGCTACACCTGCAAAGTATCTTGAACAAAACTTGATTATTCACTAATACTTGTTGTAATACATTTCTCGTTCTCAAACTTGTTCTCAAGTTCATCAACTTGGAGCTCATAGCCAAGCTTCAGCTTTCTAACACGATCATCGCGATCACATATTAAACTACTTCCAGAACATCTTGGAAGTACAATTATTTTTAAACTCAAAGGAGGCCATTTTGTCATTTTTGATTTTTATGGCTTTTTCATTTTTTTCAATAAAATTGAATGGGGTCGTGTTTGTGAAATTAATCAAACAATACATAAAAGGATATCACAGTTCATATAGTGTGTATAAGGTATGTAACGTAGGAAAATCTACAAATAAAAAAACCTTCGAATTGAATTCAAATAACTTTTACCACTAATTGCCGTTCATTATTATTTATTGCGAATTATCATCACTATCTGGCATCACTTTTTATGCGGTAGATGGGGACATACCAGTAAAGAAGTTGGCAACACTACCGTTTATTGTTTTTGCCGTAAAAGTAAAGTATTATATCAAGGTCAGATGTTCTGACCGGCTATCAATTGGTGTTGATGGTGAAAACAAAAATTCAACTAATAATAATATTTTTAATTGTAACGGAAGAACAACTAACAATTTTTTAAACAAATTATATAATGAATATTTGTGCTCACGGAAGTAATAAAATTAGTAGAGTAACAAAATAAAATGTGTGATCATTGTGACGATTCGTGTAGTAAGTCTATGTGTTTGTTAAAAAATGTAAAAAAATGTTTTTTCATTTTCTTATCATTTGCCTTTTTAAATAAATACGAAATTCTCTCATAAATACATTCAAAGATAAAAGAAAATTAAATATACTTTCAATACATTAGGTAGCGTTTTCGTTGATTTGCCGTACAGCAGATAAGATTCCGTAGAACGTGATGAATAATCGCTTTTATATCGCAGAAGAGCTTTTCTTTTGGGAAACAACTGTCAAAAGCTGAAGAGCTTTATGTATGAAACTATGTTAAAATTTTTATATGTGTTATGCATAAAAAATTTCATTTAAATGGGCATAATGTTACACAAAGCATCCGATAAAATAATAATTGCGGGGGGGATTCTAGGATTTTGAATCGAAATGTCGTATGGAAAGCCATCTCCACGAAAATTATTAAACCATGCAGAAGTGATGGAAAGACGTAGCTGAAAAGTTTTTTCTAAAAATTTTAGAAATCATGCAAACTTAAGTAATTATGTATGCATAAGACCGCATTACACAATACTGCCATTTTATCTTAACTATTACATTTTTGAAGCATCTTACAACAGAGCCAAGTTAGCAAAAGTAAGGGAACGGAAAAAGCTGTCGTTGCAACAATGTTCAAAATATGTTATCAAGAAGAGGTCTACTACAAGCACATAAGCGGACATCAGTAGGTTAATTAGCTTTTACATATATTTTCAGCCTAAGCAATAAAAATGTTGGAATATTATTTATAATCGCCATTAGCCGATGATTATACATTAATTTTATTCGCTTAGGACTACGGTCTATAAGTTAAGAATTTAGTAAATTTAATTTCATTTACGATTACCGTCACTTTGCTGGACCAAAAAGACGTCTGCCGCAAAATTTTAATTGAAAAGAAGGGCTTTCCGCTCACAATAGTCTAAAAATTGTAATATGTTTTTTTTAAGGTTTTCTAAAGAATATTCCACTAGAATTGGGCACGAATTTTTGTCAACTTTAAAGTAAAAAACTCGCGTTCGTAAAGTTAACGAAAGGCCTTGGGGTTTTTTATACATCGGATATTCAACAGAATATGAGTTTCTAGCGATTTATGCAAATAGGAAGAGGTAGCAGCGGATTCAAACGTGGAACGCCCCCAATGCAAACAAATTTTAGAGACTCTGTGCGTAACTTGTAATAAGGCGCTCATATGAGGAATTAGCATTAGTGTATAGGACGAACCAGACTTTCTAAGAGGTATTAAACGAAACTCTGGCACATATATATTCTCACTTTATTATTGCGGCTCTTATGAAGCAATTGTAAGTACAGTTCCCATTGACCTATTGATTACGTACGTAGTTAGTGATATCTCTCGCATATTAGTTGCGGTAAGACGTATGTAAATCTCCCATTTGTTTTGCTCAATTACTTAAGTAACTACTGGCTAAGAAATTTTAATGATAATCCTTGATAATAGCATGCAGTAATGATCATTATTCATTTTCCTTAATGTTCTCTTCCATATATATATCGTGTCCTATAAAAACGACTATTACTATCTACTGATGGGCAATCAAATGTTAAAAGCAATTATTCTCCAAATGTCACCATCATTAGAACACAAACATGCACTGACAGAGAAATGTAACGAAAAAAAAAAAAAAAGAATAAAATGTCAATAGCTTTGGTTATAACATTGCCAGGAGTAACGCATTTTTAATTTAGACATATTTCAAGTGCTCTCACGTAATTATGGGCAACAGTTTTGTCTTCCTTTTAAGGCATTTTAGTAAACAAAACACAGCTCAAATATCGTCTTATTCGTTTTATGCCTTACTCCTCGCACAATAAGTTAAGGTTGAATAACAGCAACAACACACCGTAACTCTATGTTTGAGTGCTTAAGATCATCACTAATAAAAAGGATTTTATTTTCCAAATGTAGTTTCTTGCATTGACATCCGACAAAAACTAGTAGAGATTTTAGTCTGACTGAATCATGTCTCCACCTCTACTTGTGATGAACTAAAGAAAGCTCACATAATATGTGTAGATATAATATTTGGCAGCCAAATAAAGGAAAGTTAGTATTTTATTGAAAAGAGCAAACAAGTAAAATGGCTATAGTGTGCCACAGCTCATCGTTACATACCCTACAACACCCCACCGTTGTTTCTATAATGTCCTTTCAAAATACGCCGTTATATGGGATGTCGTGGAAAAAGGTGACTGCAAAACAGCCCAAAAATTGCGACCTGAAAGGGAGAAAACGGACCGGGCAGACAAGCTTTAATCATCTTGGGAAGTGGTTCTGTATCGATCGGTATAACAAAAAGTGGCTCTCTCTGAAGCCTTTCCGTGCGTTGCATAAAGTCCACTTAAACTTAAAGTGACCTTGTACCATAAGAGTTGTAGTGCATAGTAAATGAACACTAGAAGTATCGTATTTGGAACTCACGGATAGCAACACGTCTTAGGTTATTGCAAGAACTAAAGACAACATGCTTTGTCTCATTTCTTAAGAGATTATAAAGTAATTTTCAACGAAAACCTTTTTCGGTTTCGTTTACTTTCAACGCTAACGTGCTTGTGTTTGATGTCACGTGAAAATCGTGATTTAAAAAGACGGCTGATATACGCCAAATTTCCTAGCATCCTAGTCGAACGTATCCATGTACAAGAAGTATTTTATAAATTTTATATATTGAAAGTCCTTAAGTAAGGTTTTCCATTTTTTATGTAGAACTCGGCATTAGAAGCCTCAAAAATTGCTTATATTTCAGAGGCCATGGATAGAATTACGAACAAGTGAGAGGCTTATATTTGGCAGGGGCCGAGTCTCGCATAGCCATTCTAGTCTCCAGTCTCTTTTATTTGCTTTTATTTGCCCATACGCTGCCCATATCTTAGTAACAAACAATTAATCGGGATGTCGACCGTCGTCATTGTCGTTTTAAAATGAACCCAATTTTAGGCCGACAAAACAGTTTTAAGCATTCTGTTCTGTTTGCGTGATGATAAACAAGCATAAAACAAACAAGTGAAAAGAATAAAATTTAATCACCTGCAACTTGTGTGGGCATGGCCGATTTTTTCAATTTTCCCACATAAAGAGTAGAGTGCCGTAAGGTAAATTACCGTTTGCTAAAGGCTGAAATATTCTTAAAGACGGCTGCAAACTCTAGCGTGTTCTTAAATAAATACGATTTATGTTTTATGGCAAATATCCGGAAAATTGGAAAATCGATGAATCGTGATTCATCGATTCTATGGAAACTGGAGTTGTTCGAAAAGTCAAAGTGGACATTGTATCAATCGATTCACTGACAAGCCCGCACTTGAAAAAGTTCTTAGAATGGGTCGGTTTTTCAAGATCACCTAAGGCAGTTATTTACGGCTTTTGCGCTATTAGGCGTAGAAATTCTATGTCTTTCGGTTTTATTGAATAATGACAAGTGCGGGTGCAATACCCCCAATGCAAAAAATGCACTTTCTAATTGGGCACTTCCACTGACGACGTAGAAATACAAATTAGCCCCCATTTGGCCTCAAAACATTCAGTTTTTTAATGTATGGAAGACATAATTGACTAATCTAATATGAAGTAAGCGACGCCATTTATTATTTCTTGATATTTGAATCGAGAAAATTAACCTCTTTGATCCTCGCATAAGCACTTTGCACTTAAGTCACTTTGAATTTATTTAGGTTTGAAAGGAATTTTTATGTAGATTCGTTAGGTGTACGCTAATATATTTTACATAGTCGAATTTGGATAGAAGAGACTTCCGAGTGCCGCCATATCGTAATCGTAATTAATTAACAGAGCTCTGTAAACACCCCAACAGAGGGAGATGGTAGGATCCCTTGCTTTTGGGGAGACGAAAAGCTAAACGAATAATAATAATTGAGGAAGTTACTAAGTGTATATTTTAAATAAAAAAAAAAAATGGGTCTTTAAAAATTTTTAAAAGAATTGCAGCCCTAGAGCAGTTCTTGTACGACATCTTCAAGCCAAAGCTCTTTGCGGCACGCAGTTGAAAAAACAAGAGAAGCCAATGAATTATTTGTCAATTAATCCACCAGCCATCCCTAACGTACTTCATTAGAGAATGAGAGGATTGAAAATTATTGGAATTAACCTGCGTGCCATTTTGAAAAATCGTGCTCCGAAAAAAATTTGCATAAAACTAATTTTTCGTAATTATTTGTTAATTACTCTGTAATCCGAAAACCATAAAAGCCATGCCTCGTCATGTTCAAAGAATCTTCTTTACTCTTTTTCGGCGAAGATTTTGTGCGAGGAAAGTCTATTGCTCTTGCTAGACCTATCAAAGACACAGTTGCTCCTTTTGCAGTTGTGGAATGACAGAGAAAACAGTGGGACGCTATTAATGCCTTGCTACTAACACTGATTTCTTGCGAATCATTCTAAGCGTGTTATCCCGCCTCAATGGAGCCATATTAGCACACTTTGGTTTGGAAACGCTCTTTTAATTAACGCAAAGACTTTTCTAATTTATATGTTAGTTTTTATCGGAGAAGTTAAAAATCAATGGGCAAGAGATATTACACTACATGTTCCCAGTGGAGATTCATCCGATGCAGGCAATCTTTGCGGAGTGCTTGGGCAAACGGACTATTTCCTCCCTGCCCCCTCCCAACCCTAGCTTCTCTTTTTAGAACGTTGCGAGCGTTTTTTATAAAGCAAAAAAAAAAAAGGACGAAAGAAGATTTCTGGGAAATCTTACAGCTATTAATAAATATGTGAGTGTTTGTGTAAAGCATTTCGACCATTAAATTAATTGCGGTTTTAAAATTTTAACGACCCCTTCGCATTAATAAGAGGGGGGAAGAAATGATGCTTGTCTTACAATAAAAATTCAACAGCAATCTTTTTGAGAACAATGCTTTATTGTTAATAAAAGGAAACTTTACTCTGCACTCAAGCGGATGCTATGCGAACAATATCCAGAACAAGCAATGATAGTAAATAAAATGACATATGAAAAGAATGTCATAACGAAAGAAGATAAAAGTATTCACAGTTTACATTTAAACTTGGAGCCGTTTTTTTTTTTTTTTTCCTACAAATTTTATGCTCTATATTAATTTAAAGGAGAAACTCAACAGAAAATTTGATATGTCTTATCGTGTTTCATAAATACTTTGACTTCGGCATGAATGTATGGCGGGAGGCGGGAGGCGGGAGGCGGGAGGAGACGAATTTACAATCAAGAATATGTAACATTCCAAAAGTAGACAACACCCGAACTTTATTCTTGCCTTTGATAGTGTCCGCTTCGAAGTAGGTCTTCATTTCCCTAAGCAATGCTCTTAGGTAAAAAGTAGAAGAGAAGATCTTTCGTAAGCGGCTTAAGCGTCTTAACTTAATACAAGATATTAGTTTCCCTCATCAGGGGCACGCTTGGCCGATTGGGATAATAATGACTTCCACAGCGTTGGAGAAATTTTAAATTGAAACGGTAATCTTCTTCGTTACTACGTCATCTTCTATTCCGCATTATTCGTAATTCGTAAACAAGGGGAATACGATCGATGTACTGTTCAAAAACAAACGTATTTCAGAAAATAAGTTGCACTAAAAATGCAGAACAACACCAACAATATTTCAATCTAATAAGATATCTATTAATTGATTCAATTATATTGATTAACGTATTAGTAATACGTTTCATAAGGAAACGCCGAGAAGTTTCACTACTCCCGATAGTTGTACTATTGTAAATGGTATCGCATGGTAAATACACCGTTTGCGAAACAACATTTTGCGGTAAATGACTTTCGAACAAGTGCAAATGTTGACTTATATTCACAGTTCGGACCCTTTGTGAGGCATAATTAATGCCCAATGCAGATTAAAAGATTTTTCTCAGTGCTTTCTCGAACAAATATATCGTCTTTCGTACATAGCCGCTCTGCGGCTATTTACTCCCTTTCCTTGAAGCCTTTCATTATGAACATTGTTGCCCATAAGATTTAACAGTAGTACTTCATTCATTTTAGAAAGACGCACCAACATTTAAAACGACGAGTAGATTAATCAGTGGTCTGCTCCTACTGTGTTCGCTTAGTGATTACGAATATCACATAGGGACTGTTAAAATTTGTGTTCGTCAAGGTAATTGCCCCCAAAAAAAAAATAATAATAATAATAATTGTAATAATAGATTTTCCTGACACTATTTGCAGATTTTTCCGTATGCGTTAGAGCATCTGCTTATCTTATCTTTACATATAAAACTTTCGATCCACTTATCCACTTGTCGAGCTTAATAAAAAGGGAGGTTTTCTCGGCAATAGAAGACAAGAAATTTTGTCACTATCAATCAAATTTCAAGGTTATTCTGCTGGCTCACAATTAAAATAAAATATTATATGTGTAAGCGTCAAGCATTGAAGATTCCTAAGTGGAAGGAGCATATTTTTCGTATCTATGTATAATTACTTCAAGTGAGTAAGAAATTGTGAGATCCATTGTGGTCACTCCATTGCAACATACCAATGGTTTCTTAGGAAATTTATTCCTACGATTTTTTTTTGTTTCTTTAATAAGACCAATCACTCAGGAGATGTCTCGTGTATAAAACGCGGTAACTCTTAGAAAGAGGAGAGGAGAGAGCAAGAAATAAGGCCGCAGATTCAGGAGTAGATCTACGCATAGCATCCATATCAACTGCGAGACTCAGTTGTTAATTCTCTGTTAAACTCTGGCGAAACCGACGCTACCAACAACAATTAATCGATTTGAAACGTTAGCTGTTAAAAAAATAATTGTCAAGAAAGGCAACACAAGATGATTGTTTCACATAACATCCGCCCGTCCGTCCATCCATCCATCCATCCATACAGAAGAAGCGATTCGCGATACGTTGAAGGCATTCAACTGGGAGGCGCTAGTTAATAACGAAGCTCAAGTACTTCTGACTACTACTTGTTTTATCGATGGGATACGCGTTCGCTGACACTTTGCGCTGTTTCTTCGCTTCTTACGAACCTGTACGAAATGGCTGGCTCGCCTCAAAATACCAACAGTTTTGGCATGACGCCCGCAAATGATTAGATAGGTGGGAAAAATGCATAGCTAGCGATGGTAAACACTTCCTATTTGTTATCTTCATATTTTCATGTAATAAGCGTGTATTTTCTTTATGAAAACATTCCGGTTCAATAGGTGCGTACCTGGTATATAAATAATTTTAATCTTTGATGCTAATCTACTTGGATGCTAATCTATCTGGAAGTGCTATTACTATATACGTACATATTAACTAGGAAGGATTTATAAGAAGAAAGTAATAGGTCACAAGCAAAATGTTGATACTACGAGGCATAACAAATTATTATCAACTCTCAGGAGTAATGATAATATTGCTCTCTTCTGGATTTCTTGACTTTTTTTTTTGGTTTTTCTATTCATGAATAAAAAAAGAATTTCTATTAAATCTTCTTAACGCTTGCAACATTTTAGGTTTTAAGTGGGAAATCAATACAAAAAAGCTTCGCAAACACAGAAGCAATAGCATTTAATAGTTTAAGAGGGGGAAAACTAATAATAGTATGTAAGTAGAGTATATCGAATACAAGTATAAATTATAATCTTATGGTGGTGATGACGAATTCGGGATATCTACAACTAATTGAAGACGTCAGAAAACTGTTAAACTCAAGTTAAAGTGAATTCTCGTTATCCACTGTATCTAAGAGAGAAATATATGGAAATAACACTTCTGGAGTTCTGGATCTGTTTCGAATTCAATAGGCATAGTAGGCATATGGCAGGTATGCACAACAAGATCTGAACTTATGGGTAGATACATTCTCAATTATTGTAAAACCCATCATCAAGACATCACATCTATTTAACAAACTCAAATGTACATGTTACTCAGGTAACTAAGTAGTCATGCAAAAATTTGTGAACTTGATCGTGTGTATTAATTTATTCTTTTCGACGCATTCAACTCATACGTACACAAAGGAAGCTTGGTCTTTTCATTGCAAATTCTTAAGAATATTGAGAATACGGTAAACAGTCAACCAGTCAGACGCAGCAACTTTTTGCTGATGAAGGACATACACGTAACGTAGTTTCCAATTATTTGTATGGCAATGTTACCGAATTTCTTTCTTTCGTTGGTGGATGAAAAAAGTGCATGTTGTTTGGATATTCTCTTCAAATACACTACGGTCGGGCATTTTGTGCATTTTGTGTCCTACACTGATGCTCTTACCAAAAAGGAATTTAATAATTTACGGAATAATAGTTGACTGGATTTATCTCATAGTAAGTTAAGCACGCACAGTCAGGTTTATATTGACCCTCTAACTTAGAACGTCTTGTAATGTATACAAACTTGCGCTCATGACACATTTCCTAGTATTTGTACGAATGCCCCGGGCTATCACGCTTTCCACCCTCATGCAATCAATCAAACTCGTGTACTTATGTTCGAGCGGCTTACGTGATCGCAATATTTGATTTATTTTCTCTGATTTTTCATTATTATTATTATTATTATTATTATTATTATTATTATTATTATCACTATATAGTAGTATGAAAGTGTAAGCTAGTAAAGACATGCATAGCGCATAGCGCATAGCGTAAGTGATACGTTGGCATTGTGTTGTCATAATAAATGATATCAACGCTTATGTACATATGTGCATTAATAACTTGCACATAACTCTGTTATTAGCGCGGCACAATTTACAATTTTCAGGGTCTTGATGTAAAACAAAACAATATTCTAAAAACATGTGCACACTTATTCGCAATAGTGACAGCTACTCATAAAAGTATTGATGTGGTTTTCCATAGACTTTTTTAAAAATGCATTTATTTTTGCTCGACAAGTTTTCGCACTCACGTTCACGTCTAACGAGTGAATGAATATTTAATAGAACTTTATTGCTAATGCTGTTCCACCTAAGATTTACAGTTCTTCTAATCTATTTTTATAATCATTACATAAATACCGAATTGTGACTCGTGTATTCGGAAATTTCACATGTTAATGAAGAAAAAATTCTGTTCATATTTAGTGTTCTCCTATTCGCTCGGAGATTATGTGGCAAATAACTTAAATTTTTTTTGCTTTTTAAATCTCAATTGGACGCTACACTTTAATTATGGTTTAATTAGTTGTTCGCAGAAGTAGTCGAGCCGGTAACAATCGCGGGCCAACAAATCAATATTCGCGGAATCACATCTCACTATAGTCAGTGCTCGTACGCACTAGGCTGCGACCAACTCCCTATACCATTCCCATCTCTCACTTCTTTTTCTTTCCGACCGCCACCGCGTGTTAATTAAACTGTTAATTAAACTTACCGTAAAGCAACAAATTCATATATATTGCATATATATTCATATTCACATAGATGTCCAACTCAGTATATATATATATTATTATAACTTTAGGTGAACTAATCATTATCCACTGAATCCGTTAAATTGTCGCGGCAAGCGTATAATCGCGGACATTGCACGCCAACATTCCCAATCGTGGTCACAGCTAAATTATTCCTCGCTTTTATTAATAAAAGTTTTGATTACGATTCACAACGAGCATAACCCTCATAAATTGCTGCCTTTTTCTCTCAATCTCGCAATCTCGCAATCTCGAAATGTTGTTTCATTAAATCCGATTTCAAATTTTTCTCGATTAATAAATCTTTTCGAAATACTTTCCGGACTGACATGTCGAAGTTTTTATTAACAAGAAAATTCCACTTAGCCAGAAGACGGCTATCAAGATTTCGCATCATATAGATGTTTTGTTTATGAGGTACAGGGGCTTTACGAACGCCACTTAGCAGATGCTACAAATAAAATGGAAAAGTGTTGACTACTTGGCAGTAAATGAAATAAGCTGTGTCCTTATTCGATGGCTAGACTTTCCAAATTGCTTCAATTGAAGCTCGAATTTCTTGCCCCACCACTTCCACCATATTCTCCAGATCTGGTTACCCGCAATTATTATTTGTTTACAAATCTCAAAAGAATACTCGTGAGGAAAAACCCAACACCGAACTATAAATTCATTGCGAAAATTGAAACGTATTTTGAACATTTTTTAGAAAGCGTTTCCGGAAGCTGATTAGACTGATTAATATTACTCTTTAAAGGTGAGTATGTTGATGAATACAACAGTTGCATTTTGCAAATAGAACTATTTTGCCTTCGTAGTTACGGACAATATTGGCCGTTGTATTCCGAATTGTAGATAATGCTTAAAATTTCTCTCAATCCGCTGTAAGTTTACCCATAATATTTAACTTCAAAGAAGATAGAGAATAATACAAAAATCTAGTTTATCTGTATTGGAGTGAGCAAGCCTACGATCCGATTCAACTTATCTTAACTCTATTGTACACGGAGTGAATTGAAGACTTAAGGAAATGATCCGCAATTTTGATGTTTTCAGTTAGCACGAAAGGAAAAAACAAAAATGTTGATAAGCCGGGTCTATCGGTTTGTTTGGCTACCTTTCGAGGTTAATAGAAATTTGAGGCAAAGCTCCACGTTGAAGGACTATAAATATACACGCAACTCTCTTCTACATGGATTTTGTGTCCTAGCACGAATACCAAGACAAATTGCTTTTAAATTCTAATTTTGACAGAAACTTACGGGAAACTTATTTATCTATAGAGCAACAAAATACAATTGGGAAAATACTGTAATCAGAAGTCGATCGGTCTATGCCAACATATGTGTCAGTGGCTTGGTTCACTACGTAGAGTACCTCGCTCTTAGCTCGTCGTACTTCGATTCGTTCAGTGCGTATCGGTACATAGAATGTAATAAATGATTGCAATAAAATTGTGAAAGTTGATGTTCATATCAGTTCGTAATAAACGTGCGCCCTAGTTATCAAGTAGCGATAAATAATTGCGAAATTAATTTTTATTCCCAATATCGGTTACAATTTTTATATGTTGTATTTATGGACTGAACAGTAATTCACGGTACAGTAATTTGAATTCTTTTTGTAATAAAAAAGAATTTTATTGTTGTTTTATAAACATATAATATCGGTTTCATTATTACTTTTTTTGCGCGGCTTTTCGGGAAAATATTTAGAGTTTTTTCATATAACACGATTTTCTAAACTTGTCGAGCATGTACATAAAAATTTATCCTACGTCGCATGTAGTAGTGCAACACGGCCTTCTTCGCATGGCTGCCTAAGAAACACATCTACCATGTAAAAAAAGAGTTTGGTGTATACATAAGATATATTAATAGTAGACTTTTCATTATTGTATGTTAATAGTTATATTATGTATATATATATATATATATATATATAAATATATATATATATATGTAAACATGTGTGTTTATGTTCATGTTGCATTTGGATCAATTTTCAATTAGTTTGGATTATTAAATTAAGTGTTTCATGTTTTGCAAATAAATATGGTTTTCTTTATTTATTAATTTTTTAAGGATGAAGAACTCGATTTAATGCTCATGAGAAAATTCTCTCGGAAATGAATAAAATTTTTCCGCATTTTCTTTCCAAAAGTATATAGAAAGCCCCATTTCTTTATAGTAATTACGATAACACTTTACATAGTTACAAAAAAAATACATAAATAAATTTGCATAAATTCAAAAAAAAAAAAAAAAAACCTTTTTAAAAAATTACAAGAATCGTGAAATAAACCTTAGAAATAAATTTTTAGTTCTAAGCAAAACTTTGCAAACTACGGTCTTCTCTTCTTTCTCACTTTATTAAACGCATACATTATGTCCGATTTATCCCTTCAAGATCAATTGGAGGCAGAAGCGCTGCATAATAACGAACAGTTGTTGAATTTTAAAGTACGCAGTAAACATATCGACTGGCATATGTATGTAAAGCCCCTTCGACCACGCTACGCAAAGCCAATTTATTTAAAAAAGCAGTTCAATCTCTTAAGTAACTATAACGAGCAAATAGATGACAGCAATCGTAGAGAGTTACTGCTTTGCCACGACATGATGGGCAACTATTTGGAAGATAGGTAAGGCATGTGAACTCTTGTAAACTTTCTCGTATTTACATTTTTCTAAATATAATTTTAATTTTGCCTTTATGTTCAGGCATTTTAATTCGTCGAAAAAATTTGATGATTATCGTTTCTACCATTGGTCCGGTGTGGATTATTTCTGTTACTTTAGTCATCATTATGTAACAATACCGCCATGTGGATGGATTAATGCAGCTCATAAGCACGGAGTGAGAGTTCTAGGTAAATAAATAAAATCAAAGAAATGTTCGTCGTTTGCTTAAGCGTGATTATCCTGCCTTAACATGAGCATCGAAAACGATCAAGTTATATCCTATTTATGATATTAATATCGGGCCAGAGTAACTTCAAAGGAAAAAGCAACCTATACGCATGGACTAATCAAAGCAAAACCCAATTTTATCTGCTTTTTTCTATCTTTCCGCCAAAGTTGACTTTAATTTTAATAAAAAAAACCGATACGTTTAAGGCAGTCCTGCCTACGTCTTCATATTTCGATTTGAGTTTTCGCCTTGCCATGAAATCTGTACATTAGGTTAGAGGTTTCTCTTAGCTCTATTTGTGCTTGCTTATAAAACATATCGGCTCCTCGATTCAACTCGATTCCCAGCATGTGTTGCATAAATGAAAGCGTAAGCAAAAAACAAGGCAAGGTCACAACTTTTATATTCACCCCTACAAATTAACTTATTACAAATGCAAAACATTTTTATTAAGTATGGATGCGTTACACTTTTTTGCTGGATCATTAATCATCAATATCTCTTGTGGACCGAAGGTTATAATTTCTCTCCAATTGTCAACGGATTGAACCCTGTGTAAAATTTGGCCCTTAACTATGAGCTGTCAGCTAGCTACTCTGATCAAGAGTGAACGTAACGTACAAGGTATCTGACGCGTGACCGCTGGAATGGTTAAAAAGAAATACAAATACACACGCAAGACAACCGGCAGGCAAAACCATTGGTATTGATAGTTTCCAAGAAAATAACATCCAAGATGTTTACTCTCGCGTAGATTTATCCTAAGGCGTTTATGTAGGACGGCAGATATAAAGACATCTGATTGAAAACCAGGCCTTTTGAAGAACTGAAAAATAAGAGTAAGGCTATGGCGGTTTTTTTTTTTCATATCAAACAATACATGCCGTGACGCCATCAGCTTCTTAGACGATATTCTGCGATTTGTTGCAGGAATTTAAGATAGTTTGGGGTGAATCTTTTGAAAACGGTGCGGATGTTCGTGAGAATCTTATCAACACCTTGCCCATTCTTGATTTTTCAGCTATGATCTCATACGCTTATCCAACTGAATTAATAGCTCTGGTCCAGTTTTCCTTCCCTTCCTTCCTTTGCACTTCTAATATATATATTTTTTTTCTTTACCTACCATAAACTTCTTAATTAAGAACTGCAACGAATGTAATGAGAAGGTCGACATAGGAGTTGGTGTAAGAAGTGGTATATCGCCACACAGCGGGCATAGCAATGCAAAGCGTTAACCGCGCATTTCTGACGCACTTTTCACAATTTAAGCTGCATATAAATTGAAGCGTGTACGTGGCCTGCGCTGACTTTCATTATCTCCATATTGAAGGCTGTTGGATAAGGTGTTTTCTCTCAACGTTTACTGAGTCATGCAAGTTTGCTTCGTTGGCGCCACTTTACGGTCATTATAATTGCCCCGAAAATGAAACAATTAAACATTTTGCTTAGAATTCCAATTGACATAAATGCATTTCAATGTTCTCTCACTAACAAGACCTCAAAGTAGAAGATGTAAGTGGAATATTATGTTAGGTATGCGCCGAATTGGTCGATTAAACGCTGCTGCTAGTAATTAGGTAAACTTGATATCAATCTTTTTTTTATTAGTAATCGTTTTGAAACATGCAGTAACAACAACAACAACAACAACAACAACAACAACAAAAAGATGAGGCGGTATATCATACGGTCGGCGAAAGAATTGGCTTATTCCACCCTTACTGGGAAATGTTGTACAAGCATCTAAGTAAAAAGAAATGTCATTTTCATACTTTATTTTTATATTGTACATCGTCGTTGGTCGTAAAGCGCGTATTGACCCAGAAGGACTTAAGACAGATTCGATTTTTTTAACACAGCACTAATCGATTGGGCATCATTTCCTAGATCTATTTGGGCTTATTTATCTATCTGCTATCTGGTGTGTTTTCTGTTTGCCAATGTTCATTTGCTCTCAAGCTAAAGGTCGCCATATCTCTCTTTGCTAGAGACGAACTTTTTCCGAAATTGGTGGATCGGACCAAATAAAACGCAGGCTTTCATAAATGACAAAAGGAACAGTTATGTAATATTTTATAAATTTATAGTAGAAAGTTGATATAAAAATCATTTGTGCCATATTCGGAGCACCTAAGCCATGAGAGATGTGACTTTCTATCAATTTTTGGCATTTATTAGACGATGTAATGTAATTGTATTTAATGCATTAGTGTTTATGTATGAGTGTTTAGCTTAGAATTAAATTTATCTCTAACTAACATTGAACTATTTCTTATATCAAAGGGATTTGAATTTTGAAATTTTTTTTTCATTTATGCCTATTTACAGGTACGTTTATAACCGAAGGTCACACTGGTGACCAACTTTTACATGATGTATTAGCATCACGCGAAATGGTAAATAATATTGTAAGCGCTATGGTGAAATTATGTAAACATTACGGTTTCGAGGGTTGGCTGGTCAACATTGAATGTAAAGTGAATTCGAACGATATGGAAAATTTATAGTAAGTACACAAGAGAGAGTTCATTTTAAATAAATTGAGCGTGATGAGACGTAACAAAAATGTAACAAAAATTTATAATATATGTTACATATTTTAAACATACATTTAAACTAAAACATATGTCTATGGCTATGTCTATCCATGCATTTTATCCAGCTACATATACGCATGTGTTTGCGTTTGAAAGAGATATTTATTTGTTGAAAACTTTTTCAACTGAAAATAAACAATTTGTTTAAGTGAACTGCGTGCTGCTGAACTTTTACGGATTATTTAAACTTTTCACATTTATGTTCTTAATGGTTTAGATTCGAGATTTATTGCAAAATAGCAGAAGAGTGCAACTGTTTTATTTTTACATTCGGGATAAAAAATATCTGGCATTCAATGCACTATTCTGATCGCCGTCTATATCTTACATATGAAAAAAAAAAAAAAAAAAAAAACCAATTGCTTGAAATATACTGAACCACTTTATATGCCGTTTTCTGCCAATCACAAGTTTGCTTGCCTCCGCAAAAAGCTTAAATAATAATTTACAACTACGTTAAGTGGTATCTGACTTTAACTCTACGACATTATCGGTTAAACATAAAGCGTTTTTCGCTTATTACCTTAATACCTGTATGACCCAATCCCAATATAATAGGCATTTCTTGCAGGAAAACAATGTACCAAATTTCGTCTAAACAGCTTAAGAATTCCGACCTGTGGGTTGAATGCAAAAACACATGAACCCTTATAAGGCAGATGGACGGACGATCTTAAATCGATTCAGAAAATGATTGTGAATCAATCGATCTAATAACAGCTGGGCTCATCTTTTTCTTCCGTGTATTATATATATATATATATATATATATGAGCACAAACTTAATATAACCTGTACTGCGTTGGCTAGAAGCGATGAAAGCCACAGCTCGGTCGCAATACAATAACTTGGGCGACTTTCATCACATCTGTTATTACAGTAATAACATCACATTGGCAACAATAACATAATTTTTGACGAAAATGCATTTTATAATTGATCCTTAGATACTTTAGAACCACTTCGCATGTTGGAAGTTTATGAGGAAACGTTATAATTCAAGTCAAGATAAATTTTGAAACATGAGGTAAAGATTATGATTGCGAATGAGAAACGGAAGGATATTTACGCAATGAAATTATTTATTATTATTATTATTATTATTATTATTGACTAATTTGTCAAGCGACAAGAAACTAGATACAGTGGCTTTTGTTCAGAGGGGGTTTTTTCGCTCGAACCAAAATAAACGCTTGTCCATTGTCTAAACATGAAAATTTATTTTACCATTTTGTGCTACCAGGGAGCACGTATTCAAATATAAAAGAAAAAAACAAACAAAACATTATTCCAGTGGACGAGGCTATTAAATAACTTCGAGGACTCGAAAAACATAGCGTCATCGATATTGCATTTTTTTCATATAAGCAAGAATACGAAGATAAAAAACAGGATATCCTTTCCGCTTAATAATATGTTTCGACATATTTTGTATAATTTTTCTTGTGTAGGAAACGGGAATCTTACTCCATTCTTCACAAAATTTGTGATGGGGTGCATGTCTGGTGATTGGCGAAAAGGGTGAAGCAATTTGGGACAGTTATATGAGAGCCACTCTTGAATTAAGCGGGACTTATGCTTGAGGTCGTTATCTTGGCAGAATTTGAATGTTTCCCAAATACCAAGTTTGTCCGGACTTTTGTTCAAATTTTCCTTCGATATCCTTAAATGACCCTCCTCGTTGAGAATGCCATTCACAAGCACCAATTTTCCGACTTGATTGGCTCCAATGTGTATTCAAGCTCGCCGCAAGCTTTTATTACAAGAACGTAATGAGACTTGAAATTGCGAGAAAACACGTTTCTAAATTCATTTCTTTCGTTATTTCATCAATTCGCGTCGTTCCACTAAGAGTTTGGAGTTTCGTTAACGGCTCTCACCGTATATGAAACATGTTAATTGTCACCTAACTCACATTAAGCTCGATTTGTTTAAAAAAACAAAAAAATATTCTTTTATTCTACGAATAATACGAACGCGTTTCTAGTTCGTATCTTGCCTTCATTATGAACGCAAAATGAAAACTTTGAATATATTTTTTCTTGCTGTATGTGAAACTTTCCTATGGAATGGAGAAAGTTTTCTTTTTTAATTAAACTTTGTCGTGTGTTTATATAACGGCATAGAATTTATTTGAAACGTTTTCCTTTTCTTCTTTTTTTTTCGTTAAGTGAGACTTTACTAATGTAGTTTAGCGAAAAACAAGTAAAACATAAAATGTAAAAAATTTTCATTTTTTTATATTTTCTATGCATTGATAGAGATATGAATTTAAAAACACATTTTGCCAATCATTGGCATGTATGCACGCATATTGGTTGTATTATGAACTCGTGGTGAAGATCAAGAGGAGAGAATTTCGAAATGAAAGAATGCCTTCGACATTTTCATTGAAGATATTTTTATTTTACTAATCCAGCTTCTTGACGGTATATGGTTTCCCAATCGAACCATTTTTCAGTATTGTTCCACGACCGGCCTACTGAGAATTTATGGATTCACACAAGTTGGAAAACATAGATTCGTTTATCGATTTCGGAGTTCGATTCGACCAAAGATTGCGCTTTAATTTGCACATTCTCTTCACGTAAAGTTAGACCCATGCTAGGTTTCCTTTAAGCGCTGTTCCAAACTGCTTCATGATCGTTACATAACAATAAAGCCATTGATGTGCTTAGTTACCCCAATACTCGAGTATGTAGATTCAATTGAATTTGTTCAGAAGCAATTCTTGCTGCTTGCTGCTTACTGGTTGGATTGGGACCCTCTTGTCTCTCTCTCTCTCTCTCTCTCTC